TCCGGAACGGGACAGCCCACTTCTGCGCCCCCCCAGATGTGCGCGACTACTCAGAAGAGGAACTTCACGCAAAAAGGCTTTTCGACTCTGTGGCGTCCGGCTGAAGCTTTCCTCCACAGCTCTCGTTTCCACCTGGGGGCTCCTAGTTTTTTGGTTAAGCATCTAAGTCTTAAACCCTAAAGTTGAAAAAGCAACCTGCTGGTCGGGGTCGTATTCGATTTATGTAACTTACATGTATACATACACTATATATATATATGTGTGTGTATACATATATATATATATATATTTTTTTTTCTCCTATGCACAAACCCTATAATCTTCACCCCGCAGACACTGCACCCCGATATCCTGCGAAAGCAAAAGCCCCAGACCTGGCATCATGTCTTCCTCCCAACATACGGCCGGGCCGAGCCGGACGACACGCAGCGTTTAAAATTACTTGTTCTCGTCTCGTTATGTCAAGAGCTCCCACCTGCAAGTCATCAACATCCAAGTCTTCATCCTCGTACAGCTCGAAGGAAACCGCCTCTCACTTTGCAATCATCCATGTTGTCACATCGTCTGTTGCTCAAAACAGGACTGCAACTTGTGCCTTGCTCGATGTCCCTGTGCAACCGGACACTGGAATGTAGCTGGCCTGGCCAGACTTTGCCTGAGCTCGAAAGGATGCTCCCACAATTTGGTATGTTCTTCTCCTACAATCGAAGTTACGAGGGTGACTGAGTCCTGTGCTTCCCCAGTTGGACTGCACGTGCCCGGAAATCCGTTGCCTCCAGAAAAAATGCGCGGTCTGCGGCTACAAGCTCAAACAGCCCTGCTTGCTGTTTCGGGAGGGGTGAAAGCCTTGAATAGGAGGCATCTCGAGTAGGTCTGCCTAATGCCCAACACACCAGACCCTTTCTCTGCACGCATGTTGAACGGTGCCATAAAGATTCTTCTTAACATACAAATACCTGCGATGTCGGCTCCCAGCATGTCAGGGAACATGATGTGTATGTATGCATACTCGATTGACCTGACATGCAAGCCTGGGAACAAGCCGGAAACTGTAAAACTGCACGGATGGCTGCAAGGCACCGTCGAAGGCACAGTAATCCCAGGCATTGTTATCCGCTAGCGCGTCCTGCGGCAGGAGACAAACCTACGACATCCAATCGAGGCTCTCTGCTCTTTTTCTCTCCTGGAGTGTGCTGTAGAGCTTGAAATCCACGAGGTAAGCATTTGCCTCATCGGCCTCGAAGAAAGAAAATTTTGTCCCCCCCCTTCTGGGAGCTGTGTCACACCCGTGCCTTCCAGTCGCATGCCAGCGCTTTGAAGGGCTCATAGGTGTCAACGTTTGTGAGTCGCCGATAGAAGACATACCTGGTGCAGTTCGGCAGCCCACTTGCCGAGCGAGAGCTTTTACTCCGGGTACCTGTGGCTCTTTGAGCATTCCTGGCATTTTCGCAGAATGATGTGGTACCTTGCCGGAATTGGACAGATGCGCACGTGAAACCAAGAACAGAAAAAGTCTCCTTGCTAACCCCCCTTTACATCCTCTTAGATCTCCGGCCTGCTCTCTTGAAAGCGACGATTGAATTCTGTCTCCTCCAGGCTCGTGATGCGGCCATCTTGGTCGACGGACAACCCGAGCCTCAAAAGTATCAAGTGAGGCTCAGGCAGCCATGACACGTTTCTGGAGTGTACTTCATTGCACTTCGAACTCCAGCACACCTGAACTTCTGTGGAACGATGGGAAGGAGCATGTAAAATGCTGTAGCACGGCCGCCTGCTGTGGCAGTCTGCTGCAATTTGCACTCAAGGAAAACTCGACGGATCACCAACCGCTGAGCCCACCTTTGTCTGTCGTGCACTTCCCTGACGAGTCTCCTGGCAAAGCGACACAGCCCTGGAATGCCGACTGCAGAAGATCTGCATGGTGTGGCACAGGGCCTGCATTCACAGGAATGCTGTCCCACTGCTCGCCAAGTGCGAGGAGAGGACCACTCTCGAAGGGAAAACCCCTGCAGAGAGGGAAAGTCATGACGCTTTTCATTAACACCCGAACACTCTCGCCTGAAACTGTCCACCGGAGCGAAGTTGCAGGCCGACCACTTGTGCTCGTCCTGTATAAGAAAAGAACTCCTACGAGGTTTTCAGGCATGCAGGCTTTCGTGGAGGCCGGTCCGCAAAGGCGTCATTCAGATCGCTGAAGAGCTTGAAGTCTTTCCCCTCGACGTTGTCGGGGTCTTCATTCCATGCACAAGACATCCTCGTTCACAGTACCAGGACGTGTAAGAATCGATGTCTTGCCTTACGATGATCTGCTCAATATATCTCGCCAAGCAGCGATTCATATGGTGAATACTCCTTCAAAGGTGTGAATCGACGATACACGATCTCCTGAGATCATTCAGGCAAATGTCTGGTGCAAAGCAGGACGTGTGCCATACTCTTACGTTCGAGGCGGTCTGTGACAAGAGTGCGTGCTTGCTAGATTTACGCTACCCACTCCATATAATAAGAAGACAACATTAATAGCTGTATGCGCCGAGACGAGAAGCGGTGTGAGTTGCTGCGCACGACGGACAGATACGCTTCACCACCGGATACTTGTTGTACGGCTGAAGAAGCTCGTCGAACTCCTGACATAGGAAAGTGTACGGGCAAAGACTACTGTGGCTTGCAAGCCTCTTCATGCATCTGTGTTGCCGGTCCTCTTTACCAATTGTATAGATCTCGCCTTTGGCAGATTTCTCCAGGACTTTCACGAACACAAACCCTGGTTCCTGACACGCACAATGGCTCTCCGCATGATGCGCTGTCGCACGCAAACACACGCTCTGCTTCTCGACCCCTGCGCGCCAGGTGCAACACCGTGTCCAGCTGCAGGCCTGGCGGGTCGTGCACCAAAGATGTGTTCTAATTGGCACGCGGGGGGTCAACAGCCTCCAACTCCGCGCATGTTCGCGGCTTGGCATGCAGTTGCCGACAGCAGATTGAGTCGGGGCTCTGCAACCTAAGACCAGTCGGACAGTCGGAGTGGAGCAGTGATGCAAACTCGACATACAAACATGGTAGCCATGCCGCAGCCCATACCGAGGAAGCGGCGGCACCGGACATGTTCTTAAAGCCAACGGCCATGACGTTCTGATTGCACGTGATCACGTCGAGGGGACTGAGGTTCTTGTCCTTTAATCTGAGCGAGAAGACTGCCGATCGCCCGTGCAGCTTGTATTTCTTGCCTTTGATCTTGCATGTGGCGTTCTTGTCACTGATCAGCTTGATCTGCGAAATGCCAAACGGCATCTGGGTCTCTCCTTGAAAGACCCCTGGCGGCATAAATGAGATGGCACTCGCCGTGGAGGCAGTCGCGCGGTCGTAGGAGATGCCTCCGAGAAAGGTCTGATCCTCTGTGGCGGTAAACTTACACATGGGCTCCTCCTGCGGGCCCTCAAAAGCCTTTTTGCAGATCTTGCGGTGGTCTGCGGTCTGCCACGCATCGAGCTCTTCGTAACCTTTCATGGCAATGGAATTGAAGCGCACCTTGCCAGTCTCCAGATCTTTGAAGCAACTTGAAGGCGAACCCTGGTTGTTGGGATCCTGCGAGTCCCACGCACTGGGAGGAGGAATTCCAGCGAGATCGCCCTCAGCTGCCGCTTGGCAGTCTTCCTTGGACTCAACTGCTCGGTAGCTGTCGGGGCAAACATTGCTGCCTTTGCTGGCCATCTTGTACAGCTCATCGACACCGGAGCCACAGTAACAGATCCGAACAGTCTCATCGTTTGGCATTTCCTGGCCACAGTCCAATGGGACACTCTCACTTGCAGGGGTGCAAAGTGTGGTTCCAGCATCGTTGGGATCTGGTCGGAAAGTTGCTGCCAGTGTGCCGTTCTGAGCATCTTCGACTGAGGAACAAGCTCCCCCAACTGCTCCAACTGCTACCTTCATCTTGTTCTCGGAGCTAAGTAAAGAGCTGTCCGATGAACAGACTAGTGAGAGTGCACTGCAGGTAGCATTGCATGTCTTCTTGCTCTGGTCGACACGGTACCATCCTGCAGGAGTCATGCTTTGCCATGCTCACCCTGCAACGAAAGACCCAACCCGTGCTCTATTCCCCAAGCTCCTGCAGGCGACTGTGCTTCCGCTTGTATCAGTGAGGCACCAGAGGCACCCTTCACCTTGGTGCAAGCATCTGTCGCTCCCGCATCGACACCTGAGCTCACGCGACAGGCGACACTCCACTTGATCCTCACATGAGCACACCCACAATGACACATGCAGCCTGGGACCAGCACTTTTCAAGGTCTCAGCAGTGACAGAGCAGATTCGCCATTCTCGACCATCACAAAACGCGTCGTGCAATGAAAGACAACTTGCTGAGTCATCGCACCTGGGTCGCGCCACTAGACAGCGGCGGTAGGCGCTTCTCGTATCGCCATGAGCAATAAAACAAAAACTAGTATGGCTGGAATTTGCTGCGCTGCTTTTTGACGGCAGCAGCTAAGCTCCCTGTCCACGTCTCGCACTTGGACAAGGCATCGTTGCTGACGTGAGGACCGTTTGTGTAGTGAGAGGTTCGGGCATCGTCGTGCATTCTCCAGCTCACCGTAGCGGCAGTGTACTCATGCGAAGTTCCATCAGAACATTCCTGCTTGATTGTGACGGGCGTTCCCTTAAGGCTTGTCACGTACCAGTCTTCGGCACATGGGCCGTAAATTGTTTTGGCGGCTGGTGCCACGGGGGTGCTGTATGTCCAGTCCAGGCCACTCATCGTCGCAATGAAGTTACGAGTTCCCATCAGCAGGACCCGAGAGTATTCAAAGTCTCCCTCGATGTAGCTTGCAAAGCCATGCTCCAGCTCCACGTCTTTCAAGTCCGTCCCGTTAATGGAAATCCGGATCGTCACGTTGTTGTCAATCGCGAAAAATGAGAGCATCTTTGGACCTTTGTGGTTGCCCATCACCACGAAGGCCTTGCCACGCAGCGAGGAGTGTCCCCAAGGCGCGAGCTCATCGGGGTTCCGCTGGCTGACGACTGGGAGAGCGCTCTCAAGGACTTTGTAGGTCCCGAAGGACGAATCAGGCAACAAGTACTGGCGTTTGTCCTGCACTGCTTCTGCTATATGCGGAAACCTCGAACTTCAAAAGAAAATCCTACACCAGTCAAAAGTCAGCCAAGGAGCCGTTGCATCACCGCTGTCTGCATAGTGGTACCACCCTTCTCCAGTCTTCGACGACATCTGAACTTGCACTCGGCGCCCATTGCACGCCCCGTCTGCATTGCTGATTTTCAAATCGACACCGACGCCATCAGCCAGCTTTGCGTTCAGGTAGTCGGATGCTTGCTTCAATTCCTGCACTGACACGACCCTGTTCCAGACGATGACCTCCATCACTGCCCACTTGGAAACGTCCTCCCACATCTTTCCGTGATTGATGACAAGGTTCTGCTTCAGTTTCACATTTGCAGGCTGACAAGAATCTTGCGAAACAGCGTCTCCATCTACGAGTGCATCCCTCGAGTCATCGCTGGTTGAGCAAACTACGACCCAATCCAGCTCTCCAGTTGAAGGCATGGCTTGCCCTTCGCAGCTGACCCCAGATTTCCCAGCTACATGCCCATGCAACCAGTTCCCCTCGGAACCCTGAAGGATCCGACCATAAGGCTTTCCAGTGTAGCGCGTGATTGAGCAGATGCTGTAGGTCTCTTGCAGCACCTAGGCAGTGGCGCTGGGCTCCCAAGAAGCCCCCAAGATGATCTAAGGGACCCGAAAGGACTCATTTTCGCACTCGCACCTCTCCGAAGTCGAATCGGGTCTTCTCGTCCCCGCGGAGGAAGCGAACACCGCGCTTGCTACCGTGGCCGATCTCGAGGCTCGTGTCAGCCTTCCGACTAACAACCTGTCCTTCATGGGATCCGATGGTGCTCGGCCATGGCACCGCAGCATCTTCTGAACGGAACCACGCCACGCACCCGTCCAGGGCAATCGGTGGCTTCTCATCATGCGCCTCTTCGTAGTCATCTGCATTCACGACGGGGTCCTCCTGTAGGAGTGAGCTGCAGCAAGCGCTGGAACATGTCTTGGCTGGTGCGTTGTGCGGCAGGTCGCTGTAGTCCATGACTCCACCAGTAGCTTCCTCCTGCTGGAGGACCGCCATTGGCTCGCAGGTGCTTAGTTGCGGCAAAGATGGCAGAGACAGCATGAAGGCCTGCACTTCCGATTCCTCGTCCAGCTTGTGACACGACTTCAAAGCGTCATCTGGATTTTCACCCGGCTGCCCCATCCCAGCCAGTACACAAGCGACAGAGGACTTGGCTTTGGCAAGACCAAAATACTCTCGTCCTTGTGCCTCGATCGTGTCAAGCGCAGTGTTCATCGCGTCCAGAACCTTAGCCTCACAAGCCAGACGCAGGTCGCAAGGCACCCTCCTGTGGTGCGCCTTTGCGCATGTGGCAGAGTCGAGCTCATCCTGGATTCGATTGCATGCACCGCGCTGCTGCTTGTAGTCCCGCCCCAACCGAGGACAGTCTGCATGTCCCTGCAATAGCCTTCGCCCTTCCAGGTGAAGAGTATCTGCAGGGCACTTCTCCGCAAAAGCAGTCCAGGCAGCAGCTTCTGCTAGGCGACCTGAGAACTCGCGGACTCGATGCAGCTTCGGCCTGGCTTTCAGAACTGAGCCATCAGCAGGCTCTGTGCTGAGATTGCAATCCATGAGCATGCAAGTCTGCTCGAGCTCCAGTGCGGCATGCCTCGGGAGATAAAACACAACAGGACAGCAAAAGTCGCTGCCCGCGGATGGTCGTGAATCCAAGCGGCTTGAAGTCGCTGATCCAATACGTTGAGCTCACTGCGGGCCGCTGCATGACTCTCCTAACAGAATTCACCAACACCAAACTCATGCCGCCTCAGAGCCTCTGGCCTCGAACTGTAGCTGGGAGAGCTCGACGTCAAGGGCAGTCTTGATCTGAGCTAGCAGCTCCTGCGGCAAAGCACGGTACACTCGAACATAGCCGTGTTGTAATCACAGCAGCCTGTATCTGTGCGCCCTCTCGAGAGGCTTTCTGCACCGATCGCTCGATTGTTTCCATGCCGGCGAGAACCGGATCCTGGACATCGCGCCGTAGCGTCAATGAAACACCTAGGGACTCTAAGCAACTGTGCAAATAAGCGCTGCAAGCCTGCACCAGACCGCCAGTCAACGAGTCTTGTAACTGCGAGACAATGCCGAAGGCTGTTGTTGCAGCCTCATCGTAGCGGCAGTCATGTCACCAGCGGAAAGAATCTCAGTGAGTGTGCCTGGGAAAGGGCCCCATCGTAGCTGCTAGCCGCAGGAGGAGCAAAGAGCGTCAGTACCAGTACAGATGCGGGCCTCAGCAGATCCCACAAAGAACGCGGTGATATGATTCAACATGCTGTCGCTCATGACAAGCGTCCTCGCCTTCGGAACATGGCGGACAGCGCCATCGCCCCTTTTCACCGAAAATTCCGTTCCTGCAGGAAACAAACACCACACCACGGCAAAACAGCTGTCACACAGCTCCAACCTGCCTGGCAGCAGAAGCGACAATATGGATAGGAGAGTATTGATGCAGGTCACCTAAACAGTGGGCAACTGGTGCATCAAGAACATGAGGCTGTCGATTTGCACTCCACTCTGATTTCCAGCTGCCAGTGCAAGCACTCTGGGGACCTAGCGACAACTGATTGGAGGAGCCACAGCCCCACCCGCCATGCGGAGATTTGAGCTGCATGGCTCTGTTCATTTCGTGCACTTGGCGAGCTTGCAGGAGCATGTCTGGGGTCTCTGCAGCCTGCCTGACCCTGGAACACTTGACGGTGTGACGGCGCGGCCTGAATTAGGCGGTCCCTCTGCGTCACGGAAGCCTCCACGAAACACCACATCCTCTCCTTGCCACGTGCACTCCAGTATCACATTGCACAAACCTGTGGGGAAAGACGCATCTAGAACTCCGCTGTCCAGACCAGTCCTTCATCCTGGCTTAGGGTTCTGGCTGCTTGTTGGGCTGATGACTTTCTGTGCAAAGCCGTACTGATGCCGTCCTGCCTTGAAGCCTTGCGCTGGTCTTGGTTACTCCACGCTTTGCGCAAGATGACCCCGATGCTTCTTAGTTTCAAACTTTGGGAACCCGTTGCGGCAAGACACAGTCCTGGGCCTCCAATGTCGTTTTTAACGTGTACTGGCTTTGCTGGTACTGACGGACACCGGCCGAGCCGGCCGGGTCGAAAGCACATTCAGGCTAACTTCTGCAGTGTGAACTGCGAAACCCCGTCCTTGCCATTGACACGACACCTGCGCCACATCCGCAAAGACAGAAGCTGTAGAGAGAGCAAAGCGAGTGAACAAAGCAATGCACAGCCGACAAGCAAGTTTCTCACCTCATGGCCACACAGTGCTCGACTTCTCCGTGCCTCTGAAACTTGCATCCAAAAGCTTGAGCAATGGCCAAGCAACTTCCACTCGCTGATGTCTGACTGCCAGGCTCCAATTCCAGAAATCCTCTCTGTTCACTGATGCCCTTTTCGTCCTAACACTGCCAACATTGCAGTAAAGTCCTTCTGACAGTCCAGGATACGGTCCTTTGCCGGCCGCGCGGTCACTGATCTGAGCAAGGTCTCCTGAGGGTGTCCAAACTTCCACGGCATGTCACAACGCAGTGCAACCACCTGATCTTTCTGGAAACCTCGCGCACCATGTTCTCCAACCTGCTGGACCTGACGCAAGGCACACTACACCAGGTTTTGCGAAATGCACGAAGCCGACCTTGAGGCTCAAAACCTGGAGAGGAGGATTCAGAAAGAGGAAGGCTGGTGCCTTGTGCCTGGCGCAGGACGAAGCTCCCCAAACCCTTTCGCGGAGCCCAACAAAACCCGAGAAACCGGGGCCGGGACCCGGCTGTCACGTGCAAGAAAAGAGTCGGCCGCCCTAACGACGGGCAACGAAAATCTCCGAGCCGCCGAGCCCAAAGCGCGCCTTTCGCACTCCTGGCTTCAGCTACAAACTCCTTGCAGCTCGAGGTCACGTAAGCCTTCGCCTCCGGTCAGCACAAACTTCTTTTTTGTGGCCTGCAGAAACGATGCAGGCACGCGGCCTGCTCCACTTCTGCCTCCGAAAGTGGCCTCTGCAAGGCTGCAGCCGTCTCAAAAGGGGGGGGTGGTTCTCTCATGAGACGTCCTTGTGATTTGCAGCTTTTCCAAATGTGCACGGAGCTTTGCGAGGACCTCACAAACAGCCCAGTCCTCCCGATCTCTGACAATGCTGCTTTTCTCCGGCCTTCTCAGAGCATTGCTTGCTGGACACGTCTTCGAGCAGCCTCACAGCACGAGCAGTGCTGGCTGGAAACTTCCGGAGCAGAAATCGCCCGAGCATCGGCCTTTGGCATGCCTCCAAATCCCAGGCAGCTCTGGATCCCATCCACCTTGACACCTCTCAAAGGCGACGACAACCCTTCCTCGAAACCGAGTAGTGGCACCACGACGAAATGAAGAAAAAGAAGAACGGATGCAAGAGCTGCCCGAGTCTGCCTTGAGTTCAGTTTCGCCTCTCGCCTGCTGCGCCACATGCTCTTCCAGCAATGCCTCTGCCTTCGAACCCCGGAGAAGGATCGAGAAATCGAAGATCAGCACTGGTGTGGCACCTGCTTGAGCTTGTTCCGGTCCACGCCACACCGCTGAGCCTTGCCAGGTAAAGAAATGCCCCAATTTCGGCATTGAGAGAAGGGGCAAACCGATGCTGTCAAGGTGCTGCACTGATTGCTTCCTTTACTGCCAAGGTCTTTCCTTACACTCACCAGAGCATTTGGCCGATGTCATGAACCAGCATCATGTCAAATGTGCGAAACTCAGGAGTCATCCCTGCTGAAGCAGCCTGAGCCACTCGGCATCACATGCGAGCGAAAGTTGCAAGAGAAATTCAAGAGACAGTTCCCTGCGACAGTAGCAGCACCTGCTCTTGTCCGACATGTCGTGAAATCGTGTGAACTCGATTCTCGCTGTGGTTGGAGGTTTTACTCGTGCTACCCGGAAGCTCGGAGAGCCAAAAGACCAAAAACATCACCGCCTCCGGAAGGCGTTGTGGATCAACCGCTACTCGCTTCCTCCTTGCCCTGGCCCAAACCTTACCCAGTGATCGACTATCATTCCCACAACACCCTGTCGAACGAAAGCAGCCTGGATGTTGTCACGTCCTTGTATGTCCTTGTATGTGCTTGCATGGTGCACCAAGGTATGCACAGGAGACTCTCTGATCACTGCAGTGCACGAGAAGTGCGTACTTGGCTTCGAGGCTTCGCCGTGTCATCCAGCGCTCTGCTTACGTCCTGCGGCCACGGTTGTCTACCACGTGTGGACATTTTGTCCACGTCATTCTATAAGTTGTGCCTTCTTGGACGAGTCGTCTTCCGACTCACCCACCTCACATGCACAAAGTGATGAAACTTCGTAACCACATGTTTCGCAGCAACACATTTTATTGACACCGGGGCTCCCACGTCGGACTCGAGTGCCACTTCAGACCTGTGCCAGGATGGCACCGCACTGGCATTCCTGGCAAGAGCCAGCGGCCTGCTGTCCTTGGAGCTGGCACCCAGATCTGGCTCGTCCTCATGGGAGTTCAACGTGGCCCTTGAGCTTGTGAAAGGTGAACTTTCAGCTTGTGCTTGGCACAGCGTCTCACTGTGAGTGAAAGTATCAAATGATGCAAAGTGACAGCGCAGCTCTAAAGCCAGAGGACTACATCAGAGCGACGGCAGCGAAACCCATCGCATTTGCCAATTCCCCTGTGACGTTCGATTCTTTGCAGCATCTTCTGACTTGCACGGAAACGTCAGCGATGTTACACCAGGACATACCAAGCTCCACATAGGCCTCCAAATCCTCTGGACGAATGCCAATAGCTCCTGTCATGCTGCGTCTGACTGCGTGGATCAGAATGCACTTGGGCTCGCACCTTTCACATCCACCCTTCTTCTGATGTCTGTGCACCCACAGAGTGCACCTGGCCAGAGGCAGGAAGAAGAAACACATCGTCTGCGGGGATGGGTCAGGCCACCATCTCAGCTACTCCAGCTACTATTTTGCCGGCAGATCTCATTGTCCGGTCGTAGGTCTGCTGCCACGAGCAGGACAGTGCTCCGCCGACTCAGAGGAAGTCTGCGTTTGAAGGGAAAGCCCATCTAGACACCTGGCAGTTTGTCAAGTGGCCGTCGGCTCTTGCAAGACCACCAGGGCCCACCCGTTACTGCAGCATCAAAGCGCAAGAGTGGCATCATCTTCCTCCTTCGCAAGATGCTTCCTGAGGGAACTCATAAAGTCATAAAACACAAGTCAGTAGTTGCCTCGAAGCCTACGATTAGCCAGGCTCACAGCCAGCTGCAAGTGAGTTGCGCTGAATTCAGCCAAGCTGCACAGGATGTGTTTGGCGGTACTGGTTCCCCTGCGTGTACCTGTCAAGTGTCACAACCGACGCAGAAATCGTTTTGTCAGAAATGTGAGCACCTGTCGATGTTGGCTTCCTGTGCTTTGGCGATGCCGTCGAAGGACTGAACGGCTGCGCCACGGAGCCGCGTGAGGGCCTTCAGCAAGGCTCTATAGCTGCCAACTCATGCAGCTGACTGTAGCGTGTTCCCTTCCCGCAGGCTGACATGACATTGCCTCTATTGGCTCTAGTCTTTTTCGTCTCATGGTTTCGATTCACTTCCCAGGATTGCGTCCGCAGATGTCTGCACTCAACCTCGGAGAAATGCCCTGACCATGCTGATGCTTGCCGCTGACTCATTAAGCGACAGCCTGACTGATGACGAACGCAAAGGCTTGGAACTTTGCCGGTTGCAATGACATTGACATGCACAAGCAGCCCCCACAACAGTGCTAGATGTATGGCCGCGTTGGAAAAGCAAGAGCCCGGAAGAGCCCCATGCAGGCCGCTACTTAGCCTGAACGCGTGGCCATGCATGGTGAAAGCTGAGGCTCAGGCACGGAAAACCGACCTGCACCAGAAAGGCCGTCGTTCTCTTCGCAAGACTTGCAAGACGGCGGCCTCTGTGTCTCAGCCACCTCTGCTTTCTCAATCTGATCGACCATCCTGTGTTGAAGAGACCGCAAAGAAGGCGAGCATGCCAGGCAAGTACTGGCAACGCCCACAGGTTCCCGACCTGTTGCTCTCCTGCATCGCAAGTCACTTGGCATAGCTTGTGGACTTGTGGATGCTTTTCCAGAATCTCCTTGATGGAAGCTTCCGTCAAGCTCTGTGCTTTGTTCTCCCGGCCAAAGGGCTCCAAGTCGTCGAAGGGAAGGGCAGCCTCGGCAGACGTGGAACCCAACATAACCTTCGTGCAATCTGGCCAATCTGGCCTTGGTTTCATTCCGAGCATGAACAACCTGTCAAAATAGGATCGGAGGCAAAGCTTCGCGCGGCAAGGCATCCTAGCCTTCATGCTGCCCGACTGGGAGGCATCATGTTCCTACCGGTGATCTCAAGTAGGTTTGCCGACGCACAAGCAAGAAACCAGGTTCGGAAAACGCAGAGTGATCTTGCGGATTGCCCGCGTCTCCGGTCAGAACCAGGGCTTGTATAGGTGGTCAGGGAGAGCCATGGCTCGCACAGGCTGTTGCTGTATGAACTATGAACAGCCCTTCTTCAAAAAAACTATAAGAATTGGAGCAGACAGCTTCTCACTGATTTTGACTACTTTGGCATGTCCTGCACAGAGGCCGCAAGCAAAGGCAGGAGCCACAGGCAAGCCGGCTTCATTGCCTGGGTTGGCCACAACACGTTGCATCGCATGAAACCACCTGCCAGCTTGTGTAAGGCGGCCTGAAGGTGCCGCAAGGAGGAGGACTGCAGAAGGGTGCGGCGCCGCACCCGCTTTCTAACCCCTCCTTTTAAGCCCAAAGCGGCTTCGGACCCTGTTCAACTACTCAGGATTCAACTTCTCTCCTCTCACAACATGCCGCACCAAGAAACAAGCCAGGAGCACCCATGATGAATGATTGCCATGTCTTCTACATGCCCCTGAAGCTCCCACCTAAGAAAGTGCCGATACTGCCAAGTCGTAAGTCTGGCATCTGTTGTCTGAAACACCCGGGAGCTGTGTGGATGGTATCCCCTATCCCTGACATGCGATGCTCGGTGTCATGTGCCTGAGCATCGTGCAATCTATCCCGGCTACACCTTGAGCCTTTCAGACGGATGAGTGAAGGCGGCAACCTTGAAGCATCCGGGTGGCTGGCTAGGGACTTAGAGGTGTTGTGCAAACGAAAGTAGTAACGGCAAACTTCATTAACGCCAACCCCGAAAGAGTGCAAGACACTGGACACCTCAGCTTCTCGTTTCGCAACTTTTCAGGCCGCTAGAAGGAACAGGATGTGCTGCTGGGCACATAGCATCGCCCGACCTGGCCAAAGACTGGCAAATTCTGCTGACATGAGGATTGCAGCACTGGCTAATGTGATGGTCTTCCTTTCTGCGCAGGCTTTAAAAACTCCCGCCTCTCTTCCTGCAGAAGATCAACCTCGAAGTCGTGTCGATGGCCTATCTTCTTCGAGCCGCGGCGCCCTCTGCATTAAAACCGACCAGCACATACTAGTTGGCGCCATATGGATCTCCAGCAGTCGTTCCAAGTCTCTTCGACAGCTTGCCGTTGGACCGGGTTTGCCTCTTCGTAAAGCCAGAGCTCATCGAAAAGTAGACCGTTGCCCCGCAAGCAGAGACACTTTGTCCGACTCAAGGACAGGATAGGCGAAGTATGGCGAAGCAGCTTCGCGTCCTCTCCTGACTCTCCGCTGCTTTGTGGTTACCCTCTTCTGCACAATGATGCCGCCAGGCGAAGGAAGCCGATTGCCAGCTCACGTGTGAGGATCTTGCCGCAACTTCGGGGGCTTCGACCACCTTTGGTCCGTTCTCTTTCTACTCAACACCTCTGCAGCTGTGCTGTTCTCATCTTTCACGCTTCCATGTAACATAGCTTCCACGTTCACCTGGCAACAGGTCGAGTCGTGACAAAATCAGGTGAGGGTTCTTGCACTGCTCCGCGGCGGGGTAGCCAAATCCAAACCGGAGGAAACCCCAAAGTAGTGATACTTGATGTGGACAAGATCGTTTGTATTCGTGACACCTAAATTTGCTTAGTCCTTCCTCCTTCAGGTCAGGGGCTAATGCTCCTGGAGTGGCCGGCAGCCCGTTCTTGTCACCAGTGCAACAGGACATGATCGGACATTGCTGGGCTTCGAGCTGTCCTGGATCTCCGCATGCAGCTTTGCTGTTCCCATTGTGCACTGCCTTGTGCTGACGGTTGCCACGTTGCCACCTGTTGTCCTTTGCTGTTTTGCATTCCAGCAAAGTGCCAGGATTTGCTCCCTTCCGACGGGCTGCTTTCCTAACAACCCAACCAAGCCGCAGGTCTGAGCCTGCAAGGTCCTGGCCACCCGTCGGGGAAGTTTTATGGGTCTCGCCTGCGGCCACTGCCGGGGCCCAGTCGAAGGCAACACCATGCGATGAATGTGCCATTCCGCGAATGCCCTCGCATCCCCCGCCAAACAGCTCCGCTCACTGAGCTGACGAGCTTTGAACAAGGTGAGCGCCCTAGACAATCGGAGTCGGTGTACAGGTGACCCCACACACCATGCCTCGTGCCCGGACATGGACACAGATGCTGCTCCCAAGAAGCTGTCTGCGGAGGTCGGTTTTGCAGGTACGTTGGATGGCCATAAGACACTGAGTCGGGGTCGATACGCCTCCAACAGACGACTTCGAGTGAAACGAGCCGGGCTTAGCCCCCCATTTGCAAAAACCTGGACCAAGCCTGTACGATAGGCTTGGAAAGGTTACATAAGCGTCGTGTGTTTGACACAATTTTTTTACTGGCGGGATGTTCTTGAAAGTAAGCTTGGGGGTTGGGCGGGCCTCTCGGTTCATCATATGTCTTAAACAGGCCCCCTGATTTGGCGACTCCGGTTCGTCATATGATCTGAAACACCCCCACTCAATTTGCGATCTCGACTCATATATCTCAAAAAACCCTCATTTGGCGATTTCAGTTCATCTCATATCTTCAACCCGCCCCTCCTTTCGCCTTTGGCGATTCCGGTTCGCCATATATCTCACACACGCACACCCTCATTTGGCGATCACAGTTCATCAAATATCTTATACACGCCGCCTCCTTTGGCGATTCCGGTTCAAAATGAATCTGAGACACGCCCCCTCATATCGCGATTCCGGTCCGTCATAGATCTTAACCGCTCTTCTGGCGATCTATATCTTAAACACGCCCATCAATTGCGACTTCGGTTCATCATAAACCGACGCCCCCGCATTTGGCGATTCCTCTTCATCATCTGTCTTAAACATGCCTCCTCGACTGGCGATCTCGGTTCATCATATATCTTAAAAGACAACCCGTCATTTGGCGGTGTTGTTCATCATATACAGATTTGAAACACCCCCTCACTTTAAATTGCGATCTCGACTCCCCATCTATCTCAAAAAGGCCCCCTCTTTTGGCGACTTTGGTTTATCATATATCTTAAACACCCCCCCCCCCTCCGTTGGCGATTCCGGTTCGTCATATAGCTTCAGCACACCCCCTTCAGCACACCCCCTCCTTTAGAGCTTCCGGTTCATCCTATATCTGAAATATGCCCCCTCATTTGGCGATCTCGTTGCATCATGCCAGAATATCCCCCCTCATTTGGCGATTTCGGTTCATCATATATCTTAAACACGCCCCCTCATTGGGCGATTTCGGCTCATCTTATATCTTCAACACGCCCCTCCTTTCGCCTTTGGCGATTTCGGTTCGCCATATATCTCACACACGCACACCCTCATTTGGCGATCACAGTTCATCAAATATCTTATACACGCCGCCTCCTTTGGCGATTCCGGTTCAAAATGAATCTGAGACACGCCCCCTCATATCGCGATTCCGGTCCGTCATAGATCTTAACCACTCTTCTGGCGATCTATATCTTAAACACGCCCATCAATTTGCGATTTCGGTTCATCATAAACCGACGCCCCCGCATTTGGCGATTCCTCTTCATCATCTGTCTTAAACATGCCTCCTCGACTGGCGATCTCGGTTCATCATATATCTTAAAAGACACCCCGTCATTTGGCGGTTTTGTTCACGGCACCATGGGATCGCGGGACCAGGGGACCAAGAGCACAGGGGGGAAAAAAAAAGAGGAGCAAAAAAAGCAAGTGAAAACATACGCCCTCCCACTTAAAGGGGCACTTGACCATACTGGCGCCACACAGCTCCCTTGCGCGAGCTTTCTAAACTCCTCGCTTTCTAGATAAACTTCGCGGCAAGGGTTTGTTGAAGAGCTGCCTTATGCAAACGAGCAAAAGTAAGCGTGCCTTCACGACGTAGACTTGAAGGATCGCATTCCTTGCCATAGACCATGCAGGTGAGGCCATTGAAAGCCTTGCTGGCGGCAGGCACAGTGCAAAGCCGCCTCTCGTCTCCAGCAGAAGGCAATCAGCCAAGGCCCCTGCCGCAACTGCACAGCCGGCTGTTTCATCACAAAGCTGAAGACACTGGTTGAGGCCCAAATGGGCCGAAGCCCTTGCTTCAGCCTCCGAGCAACACACAGAGATCACAGCCCGCATGTCAAGGCAGCGATCACACAAGCTGCCTGAGGGAAATCAGCTTGCGTGATGAAGCCATTCCAGCAAGTACCGCCTTGTGGTAGCTGCTGCCAGTGTCCAAAGTGCCGTCTTTCGACGGGCAGTGCTTGCTGAATAGTAGTGCCTTGCATGGGCTTCTCCCCCATTAGCTGTAGCAAAGTGTCGTGATAGAAGGCAAGCGAGTGGGCACGGATTCTGCGGCTTTCCATTTTGATGTTCACGCTCGCCTCATGAAGGACTCGCCTTTGCATCAAGCTTCCGACAGATGCGACTGAGTCAAAATAAAGGACGTGAGGCAGGCGGTAGTAGTCGGTAGCCCCAATCCATGCTAGAGCGCCCCCCTCCAGTGAGGCAGCCAAAGTGGACTGATTCATCCACGGAGTCTGCAGCTTCTGCTTGTGACTCTGCCCGACGGCAAACATGCACATTGGAACGTCACCAACCATTCTGTCAAACTCCAGGGAGCCCCAGCGAACGGCTGGAAGCCACTTTGCCATGAGCGTTTGGCTTGGAAGCAGCAATGGCATGGCCTGCGAAGAGACAAACACATCAACATGAAAGGCCATCCGATTGTAGATCTCAGGCAGCAGCTGCATGGTACAGCTCGAAGAAGGACATCACCTGTGCATACTCGGGTCGCAGAGCCGCTTTGCCTGCTCTTACTGCTGAGCAGGGCACGTCGTTGTCCCACGGTATCATCAGAGCGGCATCGTGGGAAAGAACCGTTCCTTGTCATGCGCACAGTCAGGGGACCGGGACACATAGTGTCAAGCATTGGGTGCAGATGAGCTGCGCAGCGCGAGAAAATGTGTTTGAAAGGCCTTGCATTGCATCTCTACACGACCAACAAAGATGCACATCCACCTCAACCAGCTCTACAGTACAGGTGATATACTCATCAGCGTCCATCTAGCTGCTAGCAGACCAGTAGCGAACGACAATTGAAGAGAAAGAATTGTTACTTCTGAAGCTGGCAGGAGCTCAACAACGTGTCAAAGTTGAACTGGATATAGTGCATAGAGCAGTGACTGACTTGCACTTATATAGAAACGCAACAAAAAGACAGTTCTAGAGACCTGCCTAGCCTAAAGTAAGACTGGACTGGCATTTCAGCTCGAAGGCATGTCCTATGCGTTCCGAGGAGCCACCACAGGTTTCCCTGGAAACATTTGCCGCAGCAGGCCGCGGAACGCTGGGCCAAAGGCTGCGCGACCTTTGCAATCGAGAACACTACCGGGCATGATGCCAGGCAAAACCTTTACCTGCCAAATATGCCTGCTTCCAGCCCACTACTGACGATGTGCGAGATCAGTCAAATAATCCAAGTCCCTTCAACCGACAAACATTTTCTCGTTCTCGGATGCAATTGGTGTCACTCTTGTTGCCACAAGGAAAGCTGAAACGGCACTGACAGCAACATTTGCACATGGAATGTGAATCGGCGACTGGACCGAAGGCAAGCCCAGCCACAAATCATCCGTAGCCCATGGATGGATGGGAGGAGAAACTACATGCCTTGCTTATTGTGCACGAAACATATTCTCCCACACTCCCCACCCTCTTCTTCACAATTGTAAAGCTCAGTTTACGTTCAGTCAGTGCTGAGTCCCAGTTTGTTTGATGCCACTACCAAAAAACATCTCAGACGAGACTGCAGTGGCAGTGTCGACTACGTGACTCCTTAATTCGTTGTAGATGTCACGACGACCATGCCTATGAGAGGCCAATCTTCTGGGCACCGCACGCCAGAGCTCTGGCCGAAGCGCGATGGCTTGGGGGTGCAATGAAATCTGTCCTGAAAAGAAACACAAGAAGCAAAATTTACGGGTTTCCGTCCGTCCCACTGCAGCTCCTGAGTGACCGAGTTTCTGGTACATCGACAGCGGAGGTACCACTGGCGCCCAGAAGCCCGTGGCATGGTGGAACTGCGCGGCCCGAACGAGATCGGTGACCACCTGGCGAGGACATGAAGGAAGACTCGATTGGGACGTTGGCCTACGCTCCGGGGATCCCACGAAAGCGCTTCGCACAGCATCGCCTGTCCGCCAACAGTGCCGGGTTCTCAACTTCACGCTGCGTCGCTCACTTGCACGGCCTGAATGAGGCAGAGCTGCCGCCCGTGCCGACTGCAACAAAGCCTCCAGCTTCTCGGCTGAAGCCAAATAAGTCAAAGCCAAACCTCGAGAACTCAGCTACGTGTGTAGCAGCGTAGGGCACATGCCGTCCTAGTTCCATATTGCGGCTCGGTGCAAAAGCTTCGGCTGAGGCTCCAGCCGGAGTAAACCAAAAAGGGAATGTGAAGAACTTGCTGCATCATGTAGCAGAGAACGTACGGTCCCGTGCATACTTGCAGATGAGCTTGGAGCAAGAAAGCATCCAGCTCAACTATGGCACGAAGTTCTTGCCGGAGGACCTGGCAAATTTCGTGCGTGTAGCAACTGCTAATGGGGTATACAGCATGGGCACAAGACCTTACTTTGCAGATGCTCCGCCTCCTCATCATAGTCGATCTCGACGAACTGCGTCCAGTCCATCATGCGGCTCAGGATTCGATCGAAGATCATATCATTCTCACACTGCTCCAGCCTCAAGTCTGCGTCGCACAGAAGCTGGCCCTCTTCGACTCGAAACTGTCTGCAACAAGAAAGCAAGGACTGAACTCTCAAACATGTCATGTGGCCCCTCTCGCTCACTGGGGGCCCCACACTTCACAACGAAAGCTACAATGATGGGATGCTGCATGATGACCGGGGCAGCTCAATCCAAAATACCGATGCTCGGACCGACCATGTACAGCGAAATGCACCGCAGATGCTATGTCTGCGCAAAGGCTCGGGTGAGCCCCCACCACTGCCAGCTTCCACATCCCGAGCGGGAGAGAGCTTGACGGCTGCTCGGCAAACCCAGTCGCAGGAACTGTCCAGGGCACGAGTCTCTCGACAACTGTCCGAGTTCTGGAGGCGTCCCCGGTGTGGCCCCAGGCACAAGTTCCGGAATGGCATGATCGCAATGCAATCTGCAGAGAAGCAATGTCCTCGATGCACGCTTGAAGAGTACATTACATGCTTCAGCTGCCTCGTTCGCTACGACAACCAAGCCCTCGGCCAAGGATGACAAAGGCCACGAGGAATCCTCAAGGAAGTCCAGGGCAGCAAACCCGCCAAGCAGACGCATCGCCAGCACCGCATAGTTCTGGCCCTCAGAAATCTTGGCATCAAGCTGGGGGGCCATTGTGTGTCTGGCCAACACGAAGAGGGCCACCACCAGTCCATAATGGCAGTGTCGTGAGTGCGTGATCAACTCGGGAGATGCCTCACCAATTAGCACCTCAAGCAAGACAATGGATAATAGGAGCCATCTTATGAATGTTACTGCAATGACTGCAATGAGGCCAAGCCAAGTATGCTGGACGGACAATGTGTCAAAGGCACTTGATGGAAGAGCGCCGACGCAGTAGCCAGGTTGTCTGGAGTTGAACGTACTGCATCCCACAGCGCTGTAGCCATGGCCTGCAAGCTGCCCTTCGGCGAGCTGGTTTTGAAGCTTTGCCAAGCTGGGGGAAACTTGCAGGGCGGGGGGAAGAAAAAGATTTGCCAGTTCGTTCATGCTTCTGCCGGTTTTGGATACATTGTCCGAATCCGGATGCTCTCACTTCAACAACTCAGCCTAGGGGGTAGTCAATCCCCGGCCCAACTATCATGAAAATCCATCCAGAGCACGAGACCCCAACCCCAAAAGTCTACGAGACCGCCGCACCCTGTCCGTGGCTTCGACTGTGACATTATAAAGCTCGGCTGACTTGGGACAGTTTGGCAAATTGCAGCCCATGAGTCACCTTCAACCAGACCAGCATTTCTGTGGACGTCTGTCTGTCTTTAAAGCTCTCGCGCCTGAAGCTCCCAGTCGATGGGGAAACCAGCAGCCGCATATCCCTGAAAAGCCCGATGGAAGTCGTTCCAGGCCTCGGAGAGGACAGTGTCTCATGACGAGGTGTTCTGGACGAAGGGGACAGCTGAGGCAGCGGCCCCATGCTCCTCCGAGCTACAGTCGAGCACAGCGTGGAGGCCGCCAGGGCCGGAGCCAAAGCCGGCGCCAGGGGCTCCAATGGGTCCAGGAGCTCCAGGAGCTCCAGGGGCTCCAGGGGCGCCGGCGGCTTGGTGCTCGGGTGCCGGCTCTGTGGGGCCTTCTGCGGGGCCTTCCTCCAAGGACCTGTGCAGAACGTTCGTCCAGAAGGCCAGAGCCCGTTTGCGAAGTTCTTCCAGGTGCTCCAGCATCCCACGGCTCACGGCATTCAGATCCACGGATCCGCTGAGTTGGATGAGTTCGGGGATGCTGCTGAATTGCTGCACCTCGCTTCAACGAGTTCAAACAAGCTCCGGCACATGCCGGATTGTGGCTCCTTCTCTTCTGGGCTTCTTGCATGTGGTCTGGAGTGGAGCTCAGACGTCTTCTGCCAAAACAGAAACGCAGAAAGGTCTTCTCGCCCGCCAGCACCACTGAGGAAAGGAGCATGCCTCGACAAAGGCTACACACTGTGACATGCGTATGTTGCTTGCATGTCCAGCACCTCACGAAACACTGCAAGAGGCTGCTGTGGACGAGGCGAAAACTTGTGATGTATTCCAGAGACGTCTGGCAGTGCAAATGCTGGCTGGAGAAAGCCAAACGGCGCAGCCTTGGAAGCCGGACTTGAACAGCAACAAGCGGCGTCGCAGTAGTAGCTCAGCGGAGGACACGTCGCAAGCGATAAAGCCACGAGGGGCGTGGAACAAAGACCGGCACCCCTAGCATCGCCCGTGCGGCTGAAAGAACAGAGTCAGAGCGAACTCTGACGGCCTAATGCATAGACTTCGATGAAAGCAAAGACCTGGCATGTTCGCTCCCGTGCCCGCACACACGGCAGCCCGAGGTGCAAACAAAGAGGAGGCACAGTCAAATCGTTGGGAACGAGGACCGCTGCACGATAGTTGGCGATTTCCTCAGGCCTCAGAGCATTGCAAGCAAGTCTTCTGCAACGACAATAACTTAACGAAACGGGTCACCTTACACTCTGCATCGAGAGTCGGTAGCTCGTCGGGCCCAAAAGATGCGGCCATCACGAAAGTGTAGTTGTGGCCTCGATACGAAGCCGGGTTACCATCTGACCAGGACCTGATCCCTGACGGACTGAGCCTCAAGCTGACCTGATTCAGCCTGAGGTAGGATTCGAGGACATCCATGAAGTACTGCCCAGGAAGTCGGTGCCAGTAGCGGGCTCGAAGGACCAAAACCTCTTCTAGGCACCGGCCACATCTGGACGGTCGTTTTGCAGTGCTGTGCATGTTGGCACCTCCTTCCAATGATCTGCATCCTGAGCTTTCCAAACCACGTCAGGTGGAAGGTAGTGTGCCACCCGCTCGACAACCTCGAGACTTTCACGTGTGGCTCTGGCATGCTCTGGCTCTGCTAAGTCCTGAGGCCCAAGCTGGAAGACTGGCGCCAGTCTGGTAGAGGCACTGCGAAGCCGCAAAGGCATTGCATGCCACCACAACTCGCCTGGACCCAAACTCGGACTTCCGAACATGCTGCCTTCAGTCGGGCGAGTCGGACCTGGCCTGGGATTTTGCATCATGATGCGAACCTAAGACGAGGAATCTGGAGCAAGAGGAATGTGGAAAACACTCTTGCCGGATTTAGCCTCGAACATGTGACAAGAGAGCAGCTCGAAAGTCGTTGCCAGGCGGAGCTCCCCAAAGCAGTTGAGAGCAAACCGGCACCACCTCGATGGCTCTACTGCAGCGATTTGCCGCGCAAGAAGTCCGATTTGCTGCCGTGCCGCCAATGGGGTCGAGGGGGCGAGCACGTCAATCAAGTAGCACAGGGACATTGGGCCCGAACCTCGCTTCATTCAGTTTCTGTTCTGTTGTTTGCCCATGCGACGGTACTGCAATGCTTTGCTTTCGGACTCCCGCATATGATGACGTCGGCACTGCTGATGGCAGGTTCGCGTTGCCACAGGCCACTTAGCTCGCTGAGCGCTTCCGACACCGACCACGGAACTTCCTCCTGCAGTTCCGGACTACGCAACACTCGATTGCGATGGAGCATCATACAGCGAGCATGGAAATACCGAACTGGGGAACCTCACATAAAAGCCTGAGCTGTTGAACATGCGCTTGAGAAATTCGGCCTTCAGACAATCTCGTCTCCACGGGGTTGCTGCAAAAGCGATTCTTCCTGGGGTTAGAACGACCTCATCGTCTTCACATGGAGAACCCAGCATCTGACCTCGCTGTATCATGTACAGTTCATGTACAGTCCGTTATAGTGTCTCACCGTACGGGCGTAGGCCGTCTGCATTTGTGAATGCAGGCATGCTTCAGCGTTTTGTCTCCAGGCCGGCCATAGCACGGGTGCCCAGCAAAGAACACGTCAAGGCCATCTTGCAGGGAACATCCGCAACTTCTGGCCTTCACATCTGGTACACAGGACGTCCACCTTCCAGGCCAGATCGACGTGCAGCTTCGCCTGGAAACGCGACATGCAGACACGCGACGTGAGCGGGTCCCTGCCAAAGACTGGGGTCAGGGCGAATGGCGGCAAAAGGCTCCAGAGTGCTGGCAACGTGAAGACCGAGTGCTGCAACCTTGAATGGCCTCGCATTCCAGCTGCCAGACGATGTCTCTGGCAAGCGCAGAAGCTCCTTGCCAAGTAGCCGTGGCTCTACCGCACATGTTGTGAAACGAATCTAGGCAGAGATATGCATCGGCACCTGCACAGCAGATCTCGACAGAAGCTGTGGATCGACGATTTCATGGCAATTCGGCGAGGATCGAAAGTCCAGCGTCGAGTGCAAGCCTCGAAGCTTTTCAGAGCGGGAGGCAGTCTCTGCGAGACTCTGCTTTCGACTGAAGCTTAGAAGCTAAGATGTAAGTCAAGGGAAGACAACGGCCAGTCTGAGCTCTCGAGGAAGTCCGTCTCACCGGTCTCTCCGCCCAAGAGCTGCTCCGCCTGAGATGCTCTCTCGAAACCGCATCCCAAAGATTTTCCTGCGGCTCTCTCAGCTTCACACGACTTGGAGTAAGGGCCGTCGGTCATGGCATGTGGCCCGCCGAGGGTCGTCTGGGTTCAGGAAGGGTCCTCCACGTGGCGTTGGTAGAAGAAATGGGAACCCCGCCACAAGAGTCCTCCAGCGTGCTCGAAAGGCACAGTGTGCCTGTACTCCACAAAGAGCGCGTGCACGTAGCCATAGAGGCAGAAAGCCATTGGATCTTGGTGATCCGCGTTCACCTGCACCAAAACCAGGGCTACGTCTGTCCAAGCTTCGGAGGCTTCCGGTCGTGGCGAAAGAAGTTGCCTGCTGGGACGCCCGCAAGGACGAACCCAAAGGCCCTTGCTTTCCTGCCATGACTCTCGCACGAAGCCGATCCCAACAGCGGCAACAGACCAGCTTAGCCTTTGAAAGCAGCATAGCGATTGAATGGGTTGTCTGCGCTTTTCCGCTCTAGAACAACCGCTGTGTTTCCGAGGCTAGCTCGCGAGCACACACACACACTTTAAAGGTTGGATGCGAGAGGAATCGGTGGATGCTCGTTTGGATCGAAGGTTGTCCCAAACAACTCAAGCTGCCCGAAGAGGGTCAGCATGCACTAGTTCGACATCAAGTCTGTTTGAGCAATCGCGCTTGAAGACGGACTGCTGACACAGGGCCAACTTCTTGTCCATGACCTAAGGCCATCCGTATGCCTTGTTCTTTGAGCACCAAGACAGTGCTGGCAGGAGAACCGACTGTGCACGGAATCCGACTTAGACCACTTCAGTTCTGCCCATACACTAGATTTCGATGTTCTTACTTGATCGTCGCGGGCACTCTCACAAAGACTTCAACATTTCACAGCCGGCAGCTAAACCTCCACTGTTCCACTTACTCAGGCTGATAGTGGCTCCCGCGGTTCCCTGCATCCTACGAGTACTCCGCAGGCCTTCGACGCCTTGTCCCATGAATGCCGCATTCTCCGTGCCGTGGGACCTCCATCATGCCAGCCCACGCGACTGCTGCACGGCTAGGGCTTGGGGCAGGGGGAAAGAAGTCTCTGTCTCGGCCTGAGCTCGAAGATGTCACCAGTCGCAGCGGTGCGCAGATGCACAACCCAAGCCCTGGCTCCTCCGATCATGCCTCGTGCTATCTCGTGCTGCTTGCACACCGAACACAAGCTCACATGCCAACTGTCACAACAACTTGGATTCCGGCTTTCCTCAAAGCCGCTTATCAACTCGACAGCCATGCTGCGAAGGCTTTCGTTTCGTGGATAGCCAGCGCGTGCGTTGAAAATAGCAGCATCTCGGAAAACCTTCGCACACAAGCAAAAAGATGCCTTGCTTCTCCAAGCATGTTCAGGGATCTTAGTCGCCGACGGACCATACCGGAGCAAAGGGAGGCCCGTTACAGTTCAGGAAGGCTGGAGCCTGCACTGCATGCGTAGTGACTTAATGAGACGCGGTGATCAGTGCAGTATATCCGAATGCCTGGAACAGGCCGTCATGGACCGCCACTGCCACGGCCAGCCGCACCACCAAAGCAGCCTAAGCTGCACCGAGCTGTGACTGATACAGGGCCTTTTTCACGACCGACTCTTCATTGCATTGCGAGTGGAAGGTCACTGAGGCCGACTCGCCACGAACCATTCAGTGGCTCATGGGAACAGCTCGGAACTTCAGAAGACAAAGTCCCGCTGTGCTTCCATGTTACATGTAGGCTTCAGGCCGAAGGGAAATAGACCTTGAGCCGAGAGATCAAGACAACAAGCAGAGCAATGCAGAGTTCAGGAGGATCCCACGCCGCTCCTAAACAACTTCGAGGCAGGGCTGGTAGTATCGCCGTGTGTCGCAGTCGACATAACACTCGGACGCAGACTGCTAGGAAGAACACTTTTGCCCCATAAGCTTTCACTCAAGCACTCCTTCCCGAATTATGCTCTTCGCGCTGAAGAGAACTCGTGCTGTCAATTGGCACGGCATGAGCCTGCGTGCTCACGACCAGACTGCCCCGCTCTCAATAGGACTGATGCTGCCGAAGTCTGTTGCACACCTGGTTGGGCCAGAAATGCTAGGTTGCACAGCAGTCTGACAAGTGCTGCCTGCTCTCCCTTCCGGATGTTGGCAGCCAGTACCTCGTCCTCCGTGTCGTCTGGCCAAGTGTCCATAGTGCTGGCCAACAAGGCTTCCATTGGAGGAATTGCCCTGCGGAGACGCTCGACTGTTCGCCGACATGGGTTCAGTATAAGCCTTCCTTAGTCCTGGACTTCTTCAAGTTGCATGCAGAAACACACAAAACGATCCGTGTGAACTGTACTACATACACCTTTTGGACGTCCTGCGCTGCTGATCCTCGATCTTATCCAAGTTGAGCTTCAAGCTGTCCAGCTCGATGACGTGAGCCTCGTGGCCAGCCGAAGCCGACGACTTGACTGATGCTGGCGATGCCTGGCCTTCGTACTGGAAAGCTGGCTCTGGATACTTTTGAGCTGTTCCGACAGCTCTTGACCGAGCAACGTCCCATTGTAGGCACCATCCTGACGCGCTGCTCCATCACGGGGACCATGGATCTGTGTCGGTGTCTGTGCGCCTCTGTCACAGCAACTGCTCTGCGAATTTGGAGCAAGTCCTGCCATAGCACATGAATCCAGGGCGGCGTCCAAAGACTCAGTCGAAGCAACTGCACGAACAGCCTGCTTGACAGGCCGAGTCTGTCTGCACATGAAGCCTCATAACAGTCAAACAAAGCTGTCAAAGTCTCAGAACACACACACACAGGCTAGGCAACGTTATTTAAGCAACTTTCAAAACCTTTCACCTATAACGTCCCGCGACATGAAAACGTTCTTAAATTTGGAGGCCTGTCGCGCGTGGGAGACAGCCTTCATGTTGGCTGTTCAAAGAAGTCTTAAGCCGCTCATGCAGGCCCTTCCATAGGGTTCCCCCAACATAGGCTGAAAACACAAGAAACTTGCTGACTGACCCTTCGACAGAACACTGCGGCTGAGCATCAACAATGAAAAGGTTCCTATACATCACAGAGCAAACCACCGCGTCCTGCTCCTGGGAGTGCAAGATGGCATCGTACTGGGCCTGACCATGAACATCTATGGAGGACTCGAACGGGGAGGTTGCAAGCGACAGGCACCTTGAATCTTGCCAGCACTTCAGCTTTTCTTTTGTCCTCCTCCTGCTTATGCCTGCGCACTTCCGCTTCCAAGTCTTGGCACCTGACATGCTGAGTGGGAATCCCAGGTAGCAGCAAGCACAGCCATCACACATTTACGACTGGCCTTAATCTCAGTTTGTCCAGTCTTGCAGACTTGTTTGCAGCTCTGGATTGTGTGGAGGGCTGCGATGCGAGCTTTCCATCCAGTGCCTGACAGACAGCCCACGATGCTTGACTGCAGACTGGCGGAAACATGAAACCAGACCTGCTGATCCAAGCCCCACTTTGTGGCATTGGCAGCCAGGCGCTGCAGAACGCTTTCCTTGTGACACATCACAGCGTCATGCGACCATACTTCTCTACCTGAGATTATCGCACATGCCAACATCGTACCGGTCATACCTGTGTCAGAGCCGGCACGTGAGCTGGAACATGTTCTCCGAACCAAATGACATGCGCCCACTACTATCTGGACTTACAGCCCATGTCATGTGGGTGAAATCTAGGTTCTAACAAACTTGGACCAAGCACAGCAAACCTGATGTCCAAGTTCCTACATTCAAACTCGTGCACTGGATGCTGTGGAATGTTGCAAGTTGCTTGGACGATACCTCAAATGCCGTAGCACAGGCAAGAGTCAGCCATCTGTCGCGCCAGACGTTTCAACTCAGGAACATATGGTTGATCTTCGCGCTGACCTACTACACAATCACGACCGCATGCTCGGCCAAGTGGGTTCGAGTCGGAAGAACGTGACCATAGCAAGTCTGACAAACCGCATCATCCGTGCCTGCTGCTGTTTTGCCGCGAGTGGCAAGCTTGGCCAAATAGCGATCGATCTCTTTGTTGAAGAGGGCATGGAAGTCCTGCGATTCTGAGATGCCCGATTCGGGCCATCAATAGACGCGTTTGCATTTGGGTCCTGCAACGACATAATTGGATGTCAACACGGGACGCTTCTACTTCCCTGAGCCTGAGCCAGCTGCAACTTGTTTTGAGATTCATGCCGAAACCACTGCTCGTCAGCATAGAATGCTGCTACTATTTACAACTTGTGACCATTTGTGTGCCGCGGCCACGGGGACCAAGATTGAAAATCTTTCCTCCGCAGACAATGGCGCAACAGTTGAATACACCCGTGGCCTGGGACAATTCGTCAATACAGACCATGCCACTTCCTGGATGACGAAACTATCTCATTGTGATCTTGATATGATGCTTCAAAGTTTGAACATACCACATGGGGAGAGAACGACCCAATAATTTGAAGATTTTCAATCGGCATTCAAAGTGAAACATGACTGAAAACTCTCGAAGCAGTAGATGCAGGGAACAAGTTTAGCATAGTGCAGACAAGACGGGGAAGCGTGGTAGCCATTCCTGTAAACCGCTGAATCCCGCCATACATGCAAGGGGGCAGTTGGTGGTCGTGGTCCCGGTGGTCCCATGGTCCTGCTAGTCTCCGGGAAAGTTCCATGCGGTTTGGTGCTGATCTCCCCGTGGTCTGTTGGTCTGCTGGTCGTCTTCTCGTGGTCTTTGGTGGTCCTAGTGGTCGGGTCCGTTGTGGTCATCATTGCTTGGGGATCTACACAGGCATAATCAACTCGAAGTTGCAAGGGTGACAAGTTCCAGGAGTTCAAACCTTGACCGCGTTAAAATCTGAACACTTCGAAGTTTGTGCATTGACACAACCAGTCCCACTCCGCCACGCAGTTTTAAAAACCGAAAACCATGAAAACCCGAAATCCTTAAAATCAACACACCACAAAACCCTCAAAAAGCAGAAGGGCTGTGCTGACCCGGGCGGGCGGGCCGCTTTGGAGATTCTGGAGCCGTGCTGGCCATACACCGAGCTGCAGTTGATGATTGGGTGCCTCGCTGCTCCTGCCCACAAAGGTAAAAAAAAATATATCTGAGAAAGGTGCAAAAAAATTCCCACACCAACATAAAGGTAAACAAAAGGTATCTGAAAAAAGGTGATGAAAAGGTAGCACTCCAAGAATCTGGAAAGGTAGCACACGAAGAATAAAGTAAGCACAGGCCGGGCATTGCAGTGGGGGAGACCGGAAGGGAGGTGCGGGACCCGGGCTACGGGGGGGATGGCGTAGGGATCGGGGCAGCTAGGCGCCCGCCCCACGTGGTCCTCACCTTTTCCTGACACGTCCCTTTACATTGTGTCTCGCCCCTGACTTTGCCGGTGTCTCTTTTTTCCTTTGGTTTCACAGGCCCGCCTTTTGTTTACCTTTTCCGGTCACCTTTTTTTTCCCATTTTTGGGTGAACCCTCACCTTGTACCTTTTCTTTACTTTTTTGTCACCTTTTTTCACCTTTTGTCTGCTTTTCCCTAGGAAGAAGCTGGATTTCCATTTTGGAGAAGCGAGGGCGGGAGTGGTAACAGGAAGGTACCCGAAAAAGCTGAGGGGGACCCTTGGGTGGGCTGGAAAGGCAAAAAAAACGGTACCAACAAAAAATGACCCCAGCCTGCCAGAGCGCACGCCCCAGCCCCCCTGTCCCGCACACCGCGAGTACGAGCGCGCACGCGATCACCCTGCAAACGTTCCCACACCCACGCCATGGTGCCACCCGCCCTCGAAGAAGCCCTCTAGGCCAAGCCCCGCCCTCCCACCTCGAACCCTTTGAGCTTAGAAAACCTCAACGACGGTGGCGGTGCTATACGTACTTCTACCTTCTTAACACCTTCCTTTTACCTTCTGCGTGCACGTGTATTTTGCCTTCTCCCTAATAGGGCACCTTCCTTCTACCTTCTTCCTGTACCTTTATTTTACTTTCTCCCGAAGGAGGCACCTTTCTGTTACCTGATCCCTGTACCTTTATTTTACCTTGTTTTTACCTTTGTTAATATTTATGTTGTGAAAAAAGATGTTACTTCTTTTTCATATTTGGGGCAACGCAGCAAGACGGAGCTGCTGCAACGATTGTCTCCTTTTGGTGCCATCGGCGAAGCCAGCGGCTCACAAACCACGAGGACGTAGTAGACGATGTGCTTTTCAAGAACGAATGTCTTGCAAAATCTGCCACTAAATCCACAAACCCTTAAAAACCAACCCTAAATCCCAACACCGCAAAACCTCCACTAAAACCTCAAATCCCTGAAATTTTAAGTTCCCACAACCTTGACATCTTACTTAGGACCCTGCAGCCGTGGGTTGGGACGTCTTAAAGGGCCTAGTTTGTCGTTCATCCTAACAAACCAAGAATGCTTTTCCAGCTTTCACATTTTGGGCGCAACTCACATTTCGATTCACATTTGGGTTCACATTTATTTTACAAATTGAACTAATTTAAATTTCATAGCCCTTATTTAAGGTTGGCCTACATGACGCTAAAATGCTAATCCACAAACCCAACACCCTAGAATCCTTAAATTGTAAACAAAGCTTGCAAATTTTCAGTCTTTCAAAAATCAAACTTAACAACCTCAAAACTCCGGAGTCCTAACTTCAGCTCTGTGTTCGAAAGTCTTCAGGCTTAATATGGCATAAATCCTAACAGGCCACGAACCTGGCAAAATGCTCTGCAAGGACTGCACGGAGTGTCTTCTGAAATTTAAAATGCAAGTCCCGATATTATCCTGACGTCTTAAACCCGAAAATCCTAAAGTCTTCGAACCTTATAGTTAAACTCCAAAACAACGAAATCCCACAGTCCTCCCAAACTTAAGACGTGGTTATTTTTTACTCCTAACACATCCAGAAGACGAAGAAAATGCCTCCAGTTCCTAAATCCATTTCTGCGGTCTTAACGCCTAAAATTATAAACCTAAGATGTTGAATCCAGTTAAGCCCTAGACTCTAACATGTTCAAAACCTAAAAACCTAAAACGCTTGACGCTGTCAAACCTAAACCCGCAAAACCGTAAAAACCGAAAACTCCAACATTCCAAAACCCACAAAACTCAAAAAAACAACAAAAACTGCGGAGGTCTGGGCTCCAAACTAAACTGTTAGAGCCCAACTGTCCACACATCCAAACATGAAAAACCCTCAAAAAAATAAAACTCCACCAGTGGTTATCGTAGAGCATGTGTGTTTGGCTCACAGCAACCAGAACATCAGGAATGACAACACTTCCACAACGACAAAGCGTTTGCCGCCGCGAAGGATCTCGAGTTTTGTGTAGGTTTCGTGACTGATACGATTCTTTCCCCTTGGTTTTTGAGTGTTTTTGTTTTCTAACGTGTGTTCCATAAAAGCATCGTAAATATGGTGGTCTTTCTTCGTTTTTCGTGTTGCACGAAACGCGAAACTTTGTTATGGGAACGTCTGACATCTAACATAAAAACAATCGTGCTCGCCATCGTTATTCTCCGCATCAACAAATTAAAGGACCGGATAACCCCACATTCGTATTTTAGCGAAAGGGTTGGCAGCGTTTCCAGAAACAGAGGGAGTGAGAGCAAGTGAGCGAAAGGTAAGCGAGAAGAGTGAATGGGGCTAGGACGACACGGACGAGACGCCACGGACGCACGGGACGGAAAAGCATGAAGCATAACAGTTTTGAGCTCATTTGCGATGCACCTTATCACAAAGCCCGGAAGTCCCACAGACCCTTCAACCCTAAGCCGTGCTAAGTCATAGACTTTCAAAGTCATCTACTCTTAACCCTAAACCGTATCACAAAAGGCCGAACGTCCCACAGGCCCCTAAACCCGAAGCCGTACTAAGTCTTAGGGCCTCTCAACTCTCAAAGTCATCTACTCTGAACCTAAGCCCTATCACAAAGCCTGAAAGTCCCACAGGCCTAAACTCTATTCCGTAATAGCCTTAGAACCTAAACCCCCTTAAAGTCATCTACAACCTAAATCCCCATCACAAAGCCCGAAAGTCCCACAACTTCCTAAACCCAAGCCGTACCTAGTCTTACAGCCCTAAAACCTGTGAACATCCGAAAACACTTTTCTCATTTTTCAGTTTCAGACAAAAACTCTCCAAATTTTTGCTTACAAGCCACTTCACAGGTTAGCTTTGGTGCGAAAACGCAGAGAAAACTCAAAACTTTTGAGAAGCGCGGCCACCTAGAACATTGGATTTTTACTTTTTTCGAGACAACCACTTGTGCGATTAGTTCTTCTAAAGGGGCTTTTTCAAAGGCATGAAGGGACTTTAAATTTGTTTACGTGGCTTCTCTCCACTGTGCAGGAACATGGTCGGTTGCTCTTGATTTTCAGACTCCAGACAATCTTCTGGAGATGTTGGCTTCTAGCTCAGATCTAAACGAAGAAGGGACCAGCAAACATAGAGACCCGGTTACAACAGTAGACTGAAAGTCTGGAAGAGGCTCTGCAACACGGCTCTTAAAACTTCAAACTCTAACCTTAAACAGGTGTACTTTCCGTCTAAAAGCCTAAACCTCTTGAAAAAACCTGATCAGACCTGAAAAAACCCAAACTCACAACCCAAAAATTATCATGACCAAACTCTAACTCAAAAATCTCTCACACACAAAACTTGCAAGCAGTTATGTCGCATTTTTCGCATTCCATTCCAATCTTGCCTTGCTGCAAGGACAACTATACATCAGTGCCGAGCTGCCGCGCTGCCTCAGCTGCAGCAAGTTGTCGTTTTCAGCATTGCCAATGGTTACAGTCCGCCTGCATCAACTGGTTTCGCTGCTTCTTTTGTTGGCAGCTGATAGTTTTCTTGACGCTTCACAGCAGAATAGCAATGCTTGAAACAAAATCTCGCGAAGTCATCAAAAACTCACGGCTCTTCGATTGAGGTGGAAGCTTATTGATTAACTTTGCGCTGAGCTTTGGACACATTGGAAAGTGCTTCCTTGCTTGCATGGCCGTCAACGCGGCCTTGGATGACGTGATTGTTGCAACCATGTGACACACACGT